AGGGCAGCCAGAAGCTGTGCTGTTTTGGTCAGTCTCCTCTTCTCATCTGCCATCTCTGTCCTGCCTGTTATTGAAGACCTTAAAAGCCTCCTCTGCCAAGGTCAACATCAGGGTCTGGGGTCTGGCCTCCAAATTTTCTGTAATTTCCTTCTAATGTCCGGAGCTGGCTGAAGGATAAAATGCACAGCACGTGATGCCTCCGCTCTGCTGCCTCCAGGTCTGCATGGGTGCATTTCTCAAGCGCTTCAGGGATTCTATTGAGAAAGACTACTGGGATCGCCTCCTTTCTCTGGGTACTTTTCTTGACCCTGTCATAGTGTACAGGTTTGACTATACATTTCCTTCTTCCTTCAGTCAGGCAGGGGACAGAGTGGCTTATTCTAGCTTTATCTAGGTTTTCTCCATAGTCTCACTCGCATGGAGACTGTGCCTGGGACCGCATCTCGCCCTACACGGATGACTGCATATTGGTGTTTAGTGACTACCTAGATATTGGCATATTCCTTAGCCTTTTCAAATATGTGTTGCTTTTCATCAACACTGCAAAGTGACCATAACATCCCGTCACATCAATGAAAAGGTGAAATTTAGTCTAACAAATTCATCTCTAAACTTACCAGGATCCTCTGAAGGTCTACCAAAGTGTTCTTTACATAATCCTAGATCCACCACCAAAAAAGGAATGTGTACCCTTATCCCTCCCCTGTTTCCATCCATTTCTCTGAAGGGAAAACAGCCCTGGGCCAGTGGGGAAGCAAAAGAGGGTGCCTGTTTGGAGTCCGATTAGAGCACTATTGCGGACAGCACAGGGGTCCCCTCCCCAGGAGGCCTGCTTAGGATAGGGAGGGAATTCCGGGAGCCTGAGGCTGTGGAGGTCCACTTCCTCAAGTTCCTTCAGGAGGAACCTGGAAATAGGGGCCACACACACCTGACAAGAATCCAGTAGCTTTGGGTCCTAGCATAACTTCATAAAAGCTTATATCTAGTTATGTCTCCCCATTTCTCTGTCCATTCACAGAATAGATCCGGCTGTAAGATAGTGTTAAAACTAGGAGATCCACTTCCACCCATGGCCATTTTTCTTGATCTAATGTATACTAGGGCAGGTTGTATTACAGAGGAAAATCAGTTTCTTTTTTTTTTTTTTTAATTAAATTTATTTTTTTTAGACAGAGTCTCACTCCATTGCCCAGGCTGGAATGCTATGGTGTGACCACAACTCACTGCAGCCTCAACCTCCTGGGCTTAAGCGATCCTTGCCTTAGCCTTCCGAGTAGCTGGGACCACAGGCAGGCACCCCCACACCTGGCTCCTTTTTCCTGTTTTTTGTAGAGGTGGAGTTTTCCTGTGTTTCCCAGGCTGGAGTTTCTTTTTCTTTAAGCCATCGGATTTGGATTCCTTCCATTTAGAAATGATACATCCCAGACGTGAGTCTTGGAAGATGCCTGGGGCATTGCCCATGACGGTAGCCCCTGTGTCTGCTTGTCTTAGTAAAGGGCCAGGGGCAGGGTGCAAGCACAGGTGTCAGGCGACAAGAGAGTTGGCTCCCAGCCCCGCACAGCACAACAATACAGGTCACACGAGAGGGCAGGTGTGGCCAGTGAAGAGAACTTCTCCCCAAAACGGAGTGCTAGCTTGGATGGGTTCTTTTTATTCTTCAGCCTTACACGAGGTCTGGGTTCTGCTGACCAGTGTCCTGCATTTGGTAGTAACCGAATGACAGTCAATAAGATGTTGAATGAAACACACAAAAAGAAAAACAGATCAGGGCATGAGCTAGGCAAACTCCAGCCCCATGTGCCGTCCATTCTCCCCACACAAAGGCAGCACCCAGAGTCCTTAGGCTCGAACACTGAACAGACAGAGAAGAGCTCACAGGCTTCCGTCCCCCCAGGTGTGGCAGAGGGAGGGAAAGCACTGAAAGACTTGAAGTTGACAGAGGCCGAAGCCAGGGTGCCTGATAGTTCCTGCCAGCCACGTCAGTCCATCCTGCACGGGTGTCTATTCAGGTTGAGCCAATGAAGTTAAAAGTGAAGGAAAGAAAGCAGAAAGGAAGAAAGAAAAAGACAACAAATAGGGGACGCGAGGGAAGAGAAAGCGTTGTCTGGGGCGGGGGTGGCGAGGAGTCTCTCGGAGACCGGAGGAAAACTCACCAGTCGCGGTGGCAGTGCTGAATCAATGGGGCCTCACTCCGGCCCACTGGCTCATCAGCCTCCCCTGTGGGGCGGGTAGTTGTTCCTTGTGCTCCTGCCTGGCTCACCGGATAATCTGTTATGGCACCAAGCAGATTTCCCAGACAAGGCTTTTAGTTGGGGGCTTGTGCTTGAGCGCACAGGGGGACAGCAGAGGCTCGAGGGCTCAGCGACTGGCTCCCTGAGAGAGCCGGGAGAGACATTTTATTAGCGAAGCCTGGTAACTGACATCAGGAGAGGGCATGTAGGCTGGGCTGGGCAAAGCATGTGAGGGGTAGGGGATGCGGGTCAGTGTATCTAGTGGCTGATGGTTATCTTGGTTAATGGACCACCTGGTAGGCTGGACAGAGGCAACAAGGCTGTAATCCAGCTTGTTCAACCCCAGGCCTGCCGGTGGGTGACATACGGGCATGTGACATGCGGCCCAGGACTGCTTTGAATGCAGCCCAACACAATTACGTAACATTTCTTAAAACATTATGAGATTCTTTTGTGACTTACTTTTTTTAAAGCTCGTCAGCTATTGTTAGTGTTCGTGTATTTGTGGCCCAAGACAGTTCTTCCATTGTGGCCCAGGGAAGCCAAAAGATTGGACACCCCTGCTGTAAATCAGTTGTTCAGTGTTCCTTCCTGGAATGAGACACTCTGCCGCCTTGGTTTGACATTTAGATTTCCTAAGGCTAGTTCCTGGGATTCTTTAAATAGATCTGGTTAAACATGAAGAAGGAGCCGTATCCCATTCCTGTTCTTTTTCATTATGACTCTCCATCCATTAATGTAGTTTCCCGGAACATTTAAAAAGTGACCCCATATTTTCATAATCTGAATTTGTGTGTCTTTTGTTTACTACTTTATTCCAAGGGCATGTAGAAAGTTACCTGGCCTTGGCTGGGCACAGTGGCTCACTCCTGTAATCCCAGCACTTTGGAAGGCCAAGGCTGGTGGATTGCTTGAGCCCGGGAGTTCGAGACCAGCCCAGGCAACATGGCGAAACCTCGTCTCTACTAAATATACAAAAATTGGCCAGGCATGGTAGGTGCATCTGTAGTCTCAGTTACTTGGGAGGCTGAAATAGAAGGATCACTTGAGCCCAGGAGGTCGAGGCTGCAGTGAGTCATGATCACACCACTGCAGTCTAGCCTGGGTGACAGAGCAAGACTCTGTCTCAAAAAAAAAAAGTAAGTTACCTGTCCCAGAATAGATGTACAGTAAGTGGTTTTTTTGTGTATGTGACTGAATTAATGGAAGACTGAAGTTAGTTATTACATATGAGATGTTATGGGCGCCATTCCGAGTCCAGTATCAGGGAGTTTACGGAGTTGCAGATGACAGGTTTACTAATGTGTGCTGAGAGCTTTCACAGCCTACTACCACGTTAAGTGCTTCACTTGGATTGTTTCATTCAGTCCTCACAAGACACTCATGAATTAAGTGCTGCTGTTATCCCCTTTTTGCAGATAAGGAAACTGAGGCTTAAAGAAGTTAATTTGCCCAAAGTCTTCTATCTAGGAAAGGGTGGAGCTGAGATTCAAACTGTGACTTCAAGCTCAAGATCAAGGAATCTTAATTGTTGGTTTTTTTTTTTTTTTCGAGACAGAGTTTTGCTCTTGTTGCCCAGGCTGGAGTGCAATCTCGGCTCACTGCAACCTCCACCTCCTGGGTTCATGCGATTCTCCTGCCTCAGCCTCCCTAGTAGCTGGGATTACAGACATGTGCCACCACGCCTGGCTAATTTTGTATTTTTAGTAGAGATGGGATTTCTCCATTTTGGTTGGGCTGATCTCGAACTCCTGACCTCAGGTGATCTGCCCGCCTCGGCCTCCCAAAGTGCTGGGATTACAGGTGTGAGCCACTGTGCCTGGCCCGCATCTTAATAGTTTTAACTACAGTCCCTCCCCATCCCCCCTTTTAACTTAGTCATTTAAATAAAACCCTAATTCTTATATTGAAAAAAATGTGAGTAAACGTTAAAGTGTTTCAGCCATCCTTTAGAAAAGTCTGATCCTTACAAATTGGAAATAACTTTCAAGCTTTATTTTTTTCTGGATCCATGAAAATAATGGATCAGGCCTTATGTGCCTCCTGAGTTTACCTTTTCTTTTCTATTTAATATATTTAATTTTATATTAAATATGCTTTTTAAGTGATACATGGCAATTCTGATGCTCTGGGAACTCGAAAGTACTGGCTGGTTAGAACTCTGAGTGGAATAAGAGTAACTGGCTCTTGGTTAAGTCCAGAGGTGGTTTCCTGGGATAGAAAGTGTGTTGGTGTTTGGTTATGGTTGATGGGATATTGATGCATATCTCATTTCTGATTTTTTGCCTATTCTGGATTGGGGGAGTTACCACATAAATGTTACTGAACTTTAAGTTTGTGTAAGAGTCCATTCTTCTGGCTACTTGTGACAAATAACAGGTAACTTTTAAAATTTGATTGAGAATAGGCAGCAAACTAGAGATGGCCCAAAAAAACATTGGAACGTTTGAAAAATTATTGTTAGGCTATCTTTAGCTATTTCTAAGTCTAAATACTTCATGATCAGTTTGTGATTTGGACATCGGATGCCAAGTGTAATGCTTAGCCAATGTCACCTGAGACCTGTGTCCACTGAAGTTTTACTGTATGTGTGTAGGGTCAAAAGTGATTAAACTGAAGCCCTTTTTAGAGGGGCCCCTGCTTTGAACAATAGCAAATATATATTTGCCATTTTGCTAGTGAGTGTCTGCATTTGTGCAGTAAATGAGCTCATGAGTAAATTGAAGAGCAAATAGACTCATCTTTCTCCTCTTTCCCATCTTCCCATAGATGCAAGCCTCCCCTATCCAGCCCCATTCTAGAACTGCATTCAGAGGACACACTTCAGATGGGCAAGTATCAAGCTAATGCAAAATTGACTGTATCAGTATTTTTGCTTCCCACCCCTTTTTTGAAGATGGGGTTTGTGTGTTGGGGGGGGGGGGTGTGTGTGTGGTGTTATACAATGTATTGTCAACTGAAGAATGACGAGGTTCATAAATTTGGAAAGGAGAGCTTGCTTTCTCAGAGAGGGTTGCAGCCTGCAGGGAGGCCATTCTAACAGGCTAGGAAGCACAGCTTCCTGCCAGAAGCCAACAACAGATACTTTGAAGGAGGGGCAAAAGGAGGAGGAATTTATGCTCAGCCGGGTGGGCGAACATACATATTTAATGAGCTATAGGAGGAGTCATGAATATTTATGAAGGGACAACTGTGTGCATGTGCGGTTGAGCTTCACACCCCATCATAGGTCCCATGTACCAAAAAAATGGCAGTGTTAGCATGATCCAAGGGTGGAGGTTTTGGCCCTCTGACATCAAAAGGTGAGGCAGAGGACACAAAAACCCGCATCTTTCGGAGACTGGCCAGCACCACTCCCTGTTCTGTGGTCTCTTATCAGGAAGGAATGCTGGTTGACTGTTTTGAAGTGGCCAAAGAGAAGGGTAGCAGTCAGGCAGCTGGGTTGGATGATAGCAGCAGTAGAGTCTTCTGAAAGGGCTGGTTGCTGTTTAGCCCTTAGGGAAGAACGCCTCCAGGCAGTTAGTAAGCAAGGGGTTTAAAGGAGGCATCTTACCTTCCATCCCCACGTGGCCAAGAACTCAGTTTTCAAGGTCGCTCTGGGATCCTCTTGGTTCAGGTGGCTGGGGGGCTTAGAATTTTATTTTTAGTCTACAGTAGACTTTTGCTGATACACTTACATTTGTGTTGGGGTTACCACGAAGGAATTTTCAACGACTTTCTGTATGACTCTTCTTAGATGTCCTTAGGTCTCTAATCTTCAGTCTTTCTGTAAAGACCTTGAGTTAGTTGCCAACATTTCAAAAATAAACTTCTCATGAAAAATCTCGATTTCTAACTTTCCTTGGAAAATCAGAAGACGCGGTAACATTAGGCCATGATTTCCACAAGGGAACAATTAAATAGTGTCTGCCTCAGTTAGAGGAGTTGCCGTCCTCCAGTTCTGTCCCCACCACTCTCTGGTATCTTACACTTGACCTGCTTCACTCAATTCTGTTACCTGCTTGGCCCTGGCAGTCAATTTTCCCTGTTTTTTCCCTCAACTTTTAATTATGATTGTGTCTTTACAATGGTTTTCCCATTTCTGAGCCTTTCAAATTATGGGTAAATCTCTACCACAATTTTCTGTTATTTTCACTTTTGTCTGAGAGAAGTTAAAGGGGTTTATTAGTAATTCAGATCAGAGAACGTGCAGAGAGGACAGCCTTCACCAATGGTCAGCACAGGTAATACTGTGGGCATCAGGTGACTAGATGAGCCACGTCCTTTTATTACAACAAGTAGGGACATGAGAGGAGGGAAAGTGTTCTCTGAGGCGGGGGTGGCAAAGAGTCTAGGCTTTTTCTAGCCCGCTTCGCCAGATTCTTCCAACCTCTACCCATTACCCAGTTCCAAATCTGCTTCCACATTTTCAGGTACTTGCAGCCACAGCCCCTCTTCTCAGCTTCTCAGTACCAGTTTTCTGGTTTAGCTTATTTTGTGCTTCTATAACAGAATACCTGGGACTGGGTACTTTATAAAAAGAACAGAGACTTAGTACAGTTCTGGGAAGTTTGAGGTTGAGGGGCCCACATCTGGCCAGGACCTTCTTGCCGTGTCATCCCATGGAGGAAGGTAGAAAGGCAAGAGAGCATGACTGTGTGAGAGAGAGGTGAAGGAGTGCAAACTCAGAACCTACTCATAATCCCAAGATAGTGGTATTAATTCATTCTTTGGGACTGAATCACCTCTTAAAGGTCCTACCTTTCAACACTGTTGCATGAGGGATTAAGTTTCTAACACATGAATTTTGGAGGGACACATTCAAACCATAGCACCTGAACACTGGGTATTGTGATTTAAAATTTTTTCTACCAGTCTGGCTGGGCGTGGTGGCTCATGCCTGTAATCCCAACACATTGGGAGGCCGAGGCAGGTGGATCACCTGAGGTCAGGAGTTCGAGACCAACGTGGCCAACATGGTGAAACCCCGTCTCTACTAAAAATACAAAAATTAGTTGGGTGTGGTGGCAGGTGTCTGTAATCCCAGCTATTTGGTAAGCTGAGGCAGGAGAATGGCTTGAACCTGGGAGGCGGAGGTTGCAGTGAGCTGAGATCATGTTGCTGCACTCCAGACTGAGTGACAGAGTGAGATGAGAGTCTATCCAAAAGAAAAAATTTCTACCAGTGTGGTAGGACAAAATGATGCCCTATTATTTTATTTTATTTTATTTTATTTATTTTTATTTTCTTTTGTTGTATTTTATTTTATTTATTTATTTATTTTATTGTTTATCTTTATTTTATTTTATTTATTTTATTTTATTATTTTATTTTATTTTATTTATTTTTTTGAGATGGAGTCTCCCTCTGTCACCCAGGCTGGAGTGCTGTGGCTTGATCTCGGCTCACTGCAACCTCTGCCTCCCAGGTTCAAGCAATTCTCCTGCCTCAGCCTCCCGAGCAGCTGGGATGACAGGCAAGCGCCACCACACTCGGCTAATTTTTTTTGTATTTTTAGCAGAGACGGGGTTTCAGCATCTTGGTCAGGCTGGTCTCAAACTCCTAACCTTGTGATCTTCCTGCCTCGGCCTCCCAAAGTCCTGGATTACAGGCATGAGCCACCATGCCCCACCGATGCCCTATTATTTTTTTAAAAATGTATGTAACTTTGAATGCTAGTGAGATGGAGCATCTTTCCTTTGTTTTATTGGATGTGGGGACCTCTTGTAAAGTTTTTCATTTCCTTTTAACATTAGTTTGTAGTTTCTTTCCTTTTCGGTTTATAGGAACCCTTCATAACACATTGATGTGTTCTTTGATAAAGGTCTGTTGTCAACTTTTTTTTATTGAACTTTTTTCTCGTTCTTTTACTTACCTGTTAACTTTGTGTCTCGTCGGTAAATTTTTTACTCTGGTTCTTTATAGTTTTTTATTTTGCCATCATGCCGGGAAAGGAGAATTTGAATAAAAATGTGAATGAAAATTTGGGCAAACTGATAGGTGATCTTAAAACTGACAAAAATATTTATTTAAAAATGGCCTTGTTTTATCAAACCTACAAGGCTGTGACGGTAAGAATCACCATTATTTATTTATCAATCAGTAAGAAAGGAAAAGTGCTGACACTTAAGCTGACACATCACCAACTGTTAGATGCATCCTGATTTCAGGAATGTTAAAATGTGAAAGGATGCATCTTAGAATTGATGATGTATTTTTTTAAGCTAAAATCTGCTTAGGGTAAAAAATCAAAAGTGTACAAATGGACACACAATGAAAAGTCAGAAGGTGTTTTTTTAAAAAGGAAGGCCGAGTATGGTGTCTCACACCCGTAATCCCAGTGCTTCAGGAGGCTGAGGCAGGAGCATTGCTGAGGGCACCTAGTGAGACCCTGTCACAAAAACATTAAAAAAATTAGCTGGGCATGGTGGTGCACGCCTATAGTCCTAGCTACTTGGGAGGCTGAGGTGGGAGGTTACCTTTAGCCCAGAAGTTGGAGGCTGCAGAGAGCTATGATCGCACCACAGCACTTCATCCTGGGTGACAGAGTGAGACCCTTTCTCTCAAAAGAGTGAAAAAGGGAAATTGGGTTCTGTTACCCCCTTGCTTAAAACTCCCTACCGGGCAGAACCCATGTTGTTCATCAGGCCTCTATGTGCCTCCTGATTTCCCTCCCTCCCTCCCTCCCTCCTGCCCTTCCTTCCTTCCTTCCTTCCTCCCTTCCTCTATCTCTCTCTTTCTTTCTCTCTGTCTCCTTCCTTCCTTCCTTCGTGCCTGCCTGCCTGCCTTCCTTACTGCCTTCCTTCCTGCCTTTCTTCCTTCCTTTTTGAGACAAGGTCTCACTCTGTTTTTGCTCAGGCTGGAGGACAGTGGTGCAATCGATCACAGCTTACTGCAGCCTTGAACTCCTGGGCTCAAGTGATCCTCCTGCCTCAGTCTCCCAAGTAGCTGGTGCTGCCACACCCAGCTGATTTTTATTTTTATTTTTTGGAGAAGGTCTTGCTGTGTTGCTCAGGTTGGTCTCGAACTCCTGGGGTCAAATGATCCTCCCACCTCGACTTCTCAATGTAGGGATTACAGGCGTGAGCCCCTGCACCTGCTCCTGATTTTCCCTTTGACCACAGTAACTATGATCTAGCCACATAGATACCTTGCTGTTCTGTGACTGTGCCAAGCATGTTCTTTCCCTCAGTCCTTTTCATTTCCTCTCTCTTTGCTGGATGGGCTCCTTCTCATCAGCTCAGCTGCCACTTCCTCAGAGGGGCCCTCCCTGACTACTAGGTTAAAGACAGACCCTCTCCCTGCTGCCTAATTTCACACTCTTCTCTTTCAGTTTTTCCTTGTGGTACTAAGTGCTCCGTGATATCATCTTGATTACTCATTTACCTAATGATTCACTTTCTCCCTCTTCTACCATGTAAGCTTCCTGAGAACAGGGACTGCTTCTGTCTTGTTCGCCACTGTAACCCCTGCACCAAGAGCAGTATCTAGCCTAGTGTTGAATGAATACTCACGTGACTGCTTGAATGGATAAATGTTTGTTTTTGTAATCCACTTCAACTCTGGTGAAATTAGGTAGGCAGAAAGAGAAAAGAATAGCAAGTGGACAGCATTTCAGAGTGCGAACAGGATTTCAGCTGCGCCCTGAGAAGGCCCTAGGTAGGGAACAGATGATCTCAGCCGGGACTCACTGAAGGAAGAGCTGGAAAGGCCAGTGTGGCTGGGGCTCACGTGGCAGGAGGTGTGTGCTTCATGATTGAGAAAGATCGTAAAGCCGGCTGAGAATTTTGGACTCCATTCTAAAGGGAGTCGGAAGCCTGTTACGCATGCCCCACAACACCCTGAACTTCTC